AAATCTAAGTGTCCAGTTTTCCTTACCTGAGGGCATCCAGCATCGGGAGCAGATTAAGAAGGGCGGTGTCGCTGGGGTCGCTGAACCAGGACTTGATGGGGATGGCATTGTCTAAGTCGAGTGGAAAATACACATGAGAAGAAAGAATGCATTCAAGAGGGACAAGGTGTTTTTTCTTTTGTTTGGGAGTAGGGATCATTACTTTAAAATACATGTATTTACCTCACCACCAGTCACCTACCCAAATCAATAACCTAAGTAAAAACCCTCCTGATTTGTACTCCAAAATAAAATTAACTTGCAATCACCATATCTCACACTAGTATGAGGCTTCTAGTCATACCTATTGTCATTATGACGGATATCTGCTGTGAGAAATCTGATTTACGAAATGGACATGTGGGGGAGGGGGAAACATCTCATTTAAAAGCGGAACAACTTGCATCTTGGCCTACAATAAAGTAAGGCATCCCAGCTCCATGCATTCAAAATACTTCCTCAGAGCCACCTCCTGGGCCTTCAAACTCACCACATTTCCCCATACCTGGATGGCTCCTGTAAGCCCCTGGGGAGTTATCCAAGATCACAATGCTGGAGAGGTCACTGTGGACCACAGAGAGGTCCTTGATGTAGCTGCCCAATTCCAAAGTGCAGTGCTACAAGGCAGGGTGAGTTGGGTATCAAAAGGTGACTCAGTCCTCTGTGACTGCTCCCCCAACCCCAACAACGCCATGGGCAGCCAAAGTCCCACAAAGGGGACCATGCAGTAAGCCCCCCTCATGTCCCCAGGTCTCACTGCAAGGCAACTGCCTCAAACTCAAGTCCCTCCCTGGTGACCTGCCTCCGGAGTTCACTGAGACCTGGATTCTAGCCCCTTACCTACCTGTCTGTAATATCTCCTCTTGAGAATGCTTCTGCTATTGTCTAGTTTATCTGCCACAGCAGAGCCATAAATCTCCATGCTTGCTGTGAATACGACCAGCTCGTACCACTGGCTCACCTGAAATAGATCGGGGGAGGAGGTATCAGAAGAGGTGATCATTCATTTAGACATATAGTGCCTTTTCACTGGGACTATCGAATGTCTCTGAGGACACAAAATTCTGAGTGCTCCCAAACTCAGAGTCTTAAGCACCATACACCCTTAATTAAGATTCAGAGATGCAAGAACAGAAGAGCAGGAAGCCTGTGGAAGAACAGAATTATACCCGGACAAATGAACCCAAACTACCAAAAGCCATTCTTCAACCATACCACAACCTCCCACCCCCAAAATTGCCCTCAGCCATTTCTCCTCACCCCTTATTTCCTCCAAATCTTCTAAATTACCAGAGCCCTAAAACCATTCCTTCATCACAGTGCTCCCTTTGGCTTCTGCAAACTCACCACTTCTAAGAAGAAATCCACATGGGGCCTCTTATGTACAAAAAACCGGACAGGATGTTTGTCTATTACCACCTGTAGAGGAACAGGGAAGGACTGGGGAAGTCCTGAGCACCACAGCACGGCCTGAAGGACACTCCCCCCCCCCGCCCCCTCCCACTGCCTGCTTCCCTTCTTCAGGCTGACACTGGTGCCAGGGGATGGAGACAACACATTCTGGGACTGGGAAAGGTCTAAGTAGAACAGACATAACCATTCCATCACTTCCCACAGCACACACCTTGAGGATGAAGTCAGGTGGTGTTCCAGGTCGGACCGTGGGCCTCAGAACCCCATCATGATGGGAGTGAATAAGGGTCTCATCCAGATCCAGCACCAGAATCTTCCTCTTCACCTGGCCTAAACCACAACAGGAAAAAAGAACACCAACCAACTTCTAGCCCAGACCTTGAACCCTACCTCACCTTAAAGGATCTTCCCAGCCAGCATACTCACCTAGCCGATTCCGAGACACAGGAGATAAGGGAAGGATATCATATCGAACAGTTTGGTACTGAATTACCTGAGAACAAAAGAGAGGATTAGAATCCTTAACAAGGAAATGTTCCTCAGTAACAATAGGTAGCACATGTTGAACATTTACCGTGTGTTGTGCACTGTATAAATGACTTAAGATGACTTCATTTATTTCTCAAAACAACAAAAATATCAACTCTTGTTTTAAGAATAAAGAAACTGAAGCTTGAAGAGATTAAATACATTGCCTAAGGCTACACAGCTAGGAATTATATTATTTAGTTTGTTCTAATTAGAATGAAAAAAAACTCCATGAGGGCATGGATTTTGTCTCCATCCTGCTGCCCTAGAACACTGTAGCAAGGGGTGGTCAGTTAACATCAGAATCGATAAAGCGGTGGAGTCAGGATTGTACCCATGCACTGCGATACAAGAACCTGCTCTCTTAACTCTGATATCCCCTTGCTACTTTGAACAAAGAATTGCACAGCTCTCCCCACCTCCACCCCAAGGATTCTTTGTGACAACTCCCATCAGCCTTAGATTCCTTAGTGGACACAGGGTAGGAGTCAAGAAGGGAGGTCCTCGGGCTCCTAGGGGAACAGAGGATGAGGGAATCCAGGGGTTGTCAGGTCAGCTCAGTTCCTCTGGCCAGGGGCCACCAGGCCTATTTTAACCAGCCACCTGTCCATTCCTGTCTCTATGAGCCAAGTCACAAGTTGCAAAGAACCTAAGCCCTCTGAACAGCCTCCTTTTCCTGGTACCCAGGGCAAGGCAGAGGACACTGGAAAGCCCCACCCGCCAAGCCAACTGATAGGGTGTGCAGGAGGCCAGAGTGAAGTAAGGGCTATGAGTAAGAGGTGAAGATGGGACAAGGACATCACTAGCTCAGCCTTCTAGTTTCTCCAAACCTTTTCCGAAGGCTCTTATTTCTAACACTTGAATCTCCCCCATGCAAAGCCTGGCAATTCCCTCCTCTGCTCTCTTCTTCTAAGGTACAGACCGATGCTCTTCAGTCCATCCACAGGCCCTGAGTCTCACCCGAACCAGGTTCCCCTTGCAAACCAAAGAGCCCTCACCCCTAATCCCAAGGCATCTGCCCTTCTTTTCTCCCTGGGCCATCGTGAGGGCCGACACAGCTCGGGTGTCCTGCCCTGCTATCTCGGGTTGCACATGCTGGGCATGTAGGGACTGCTCCAAGCATCTGCCAGAAAGGGGGTGGGGGAAAAGACCAGATTGGAAGGGAAGACAAAAGACTGTGGGGTCAGTGCCACTCAAAGGAAAGCAACTGACCTCTGGCTGGGCTAAAGGACTACTCCCTGCATCCAGAACAAAAACTGACGTGTCGGGAGAAGGTGGGATGCTCAGCGCGAGGCCAAGCAAAGAGGGCTGGCAGCTAACATGTAGAGAAAACCCCAGGGGCTGACCCACACATCTGAGCATCTCACCCCAAATTCTTCTTGGCTCCTAACTCTGGTCTCAGGGAAATAGCCCTGCCTACCACCATGACCACCCAGAACAATCCACACTCTAAGGCAGGCAACGGAAGTCGAATGGTAAAGGAGACACTCAATGCAAGGCCAGGCCCATTCCCCCAAGTCAATCAAGTCCACCACTACCACCAGGGTTTTCTGGAAATGCCGACATAGGCAGCTCCTGCCTGGTTTTATTCTTTCAAGTTTTACTGAGGTGTGCCAAAGGGGACGGACCAGAGAACCTCTGCGCCCTCGCTCACTTAATTTCCCCGACTTCAGAGGATTCTCCCCAATGGTGATGAGAACGCAAGAGCACATTCATCAAATGGCACTGGCCTCAGAGGCTTCGACTCTGGAGAAAAACTGTGAGGGGGGGAACCCACACACGGACACATGCAGTCTCCACTGCCCACAGAGCCTCCCACAATGCCAGGTTCCCCGGAGAAACAGGGTGCCTGGCCCTGGGATTCCAGCCTGCGCCGACAAGCAGCGTCCCCTGCCAGGACACCCGAACTTCCCTGTGCTCCCCGCCACGGCCGAAGCAGCCAGGAACTCAGAGTCCAGGCACCCGCACTCACATTCAGAAGGAAGTTTTCTGGGCTTTTCTGCAGGAGTTGCCTTAATGCAAACCGCAGGGGTTTCTCCCTCGCACTCAGGGCTTTTCTCAAGTTCCCACCCTTGTTTGTCACAGATACCCTTCCACCCGCCCCCACTCTTGACCCCTAAGCCTGTCTCTCCCTAGTTCAAGGCCAAACACAGTTTCCTAATCACAGGAGGGTCTCTCACAGGCCCACAGGAACACATCTGCTGCCATCAAACAGGTGTCCCCCGCCTCTCCGTTCCTTTAGCAGCAACTCCAGCTTTTTTAAGAGCGCCCCACCCACCACCCTAGCCCCCAAGAATTGCCAAATCCTGTCCCTAAGCCCTCCCCCCCGCCCCATCTTGGTTCTACTACAAGGATCCCCCTCCTCCCTGTTCCACCCCAGGCCCTGCCGAAGGTGCCCCGGTTCTCTAAGGGGGGAAGCCGCCACCGGGACCAAACAGAGGCCGACCCCTTCCGAAAACCCGTGAGCATCGCTGACAGAGGCCCCACCACGACCATCGCCCACCCAGGCTCACCGTGCGGATCTGCCTCCGCAAAAGGTAAATGAAGAAGCTCCACAGCTTGGCGGCGAAGGCCACGAACGTGCG